GGGCGCCGCCGCCGCCGCCCGCCGCGCCCGCGCCACCCGCGCCGGCCATGAGCGCGAGCGAGGGCGACGAAATGTGGTCCAGCAGGTCGCCAGGCTCGAGCGCCTGGTGGTGGTGGTGGTGGTGGTGGTGGTGCGCCAGCGGCACGGTGGACGTGGACGTGCATGGCACGCTGTTCATCGTGTGGTACGTGGCGTCTGGCTTGAATGGGTGGCTCTTGCCCTGGGACACGGCGATGTCCACGGCCGCCAGCGCCTCTGCCCGCGCCAGCAGCGTTTCGTCTAGGCTGGCGAAGAGGTTGCTCTGCAGCTGCAGGCGACACAAACCAAACCAAAACAACAAACAAACAAACAAAAAAGGCAAAAACACAAAACAAAACCACACACAAGCCGAAAAGCACAAGCAAAGGGCAAACCAAACACAAAGCAACCAAAATAACGACAACGAGGGTGGGGATAGCGGAGACCGGGAAAGATGGAATGGGGAGCACATTGAGGACGAGACGGGGGGACAGATAAGAAGGGACGTGAGTATGAGGAGAGGGATAGGGGCAGGGAAGAGGGGGGCACAAGAACACATTCCGGGAACCGGCGTGGGAGACCAAAAAGGAAGGGGAAAAGAAGAAGAAGAAATGGAGATGTAACTCGCAGCTGGGGACCCGTGTCACGCACCCGAACACGCACAGAGACCGCCTTTCCGAGGCGTGAAATTAACAGAGAAAGTGGAGGGAAGTCGAGAGTCATGGCCCCAGCGCTTCCCACTCTGATCGCAGACGCCCGACAGAGGCAGAGGCGACGGGAACACGTATTAAGCGCCACCGGACAAAACGTGCCTCGCCGTGGGATTCCTCTAAAAATCCCTGCCCGCAAAACCCAGCACCGGGACCTGGCGCGCATCAGCACCCGACATGCAGTGTCTCGGAGACGGGGAGGGGGCAGGCGCGCGGGCCGGGGCCTCGGGCGTGGGGCGCTTACCGGCGGCGTGGGCAGGCAGGCCCGCCGGATGGCCTCAGAGCTGGAGTGCAGCGACGGGTACTTGTGCTCAGGGAGGGTGGGATGCATGGCAAAGTGAGGCTGCTTGCTGTTCATAGACATCATCTTGATGGCTTGGCATGTAAATCCACAAACACTCCGAAAGTCAGCCCGAAAGTGCGCACGCCGGCTCCCCCGGCCTCCCTTCGGAGGCTGCAGCCGCGGCGGTTGGCGGCGCGGAGGCGGCGGCCGCGCCGGGGGCTGCTGCTGCTCCTGTGCTGCCGCCGCTGCTGCCCGGCTCTTCCTTTGACCGTGCAGAGCGCCGCGCACCGGCCTCGCGATCCCACTTCTCCTAGAGCTCTAGCCCCGCGCGCCGACGGGATGCACTCCTCTTACACCTGAGCCCCACTTCTCGCGGCCGGTTCGGGGAGCTCTCGCGAGAGCTCCCGGCCCCGCCGCGCTGACAGGCATCAGCTGTCTCTGTCTGTCTGACGCGCGCTCTCTCTCTCCGCGGCGCCGTGCGTCTGCGCGCGCGCGCGCTCGCCCGGCCACGACAGGCGCTTGGGAGCCGCTCTTATAGTGACCACCAGCAAGGACAGCGCAGGTGATGCACCTGTAGCTACCCGGGCATGCGCACTGCACGCCTCACCTTTCCCACCGCGGCTCTGGAAAGATCAGAAGGGCTAGCTATTGTCTCAGGGTACGCACCTTTTAGGGGGAGAAAGACAAGATGCTCACAAGCACCTTGGTGCTTTGCCTCTCTCAAACTCTCCCCCATCCCCATCGCAAGCCCGGAATATATGCGCATTACTTAGGCGCACCTCCGCTCCGGGATGTCTAACAAGCTGTTATATAATGTATACAGCTGGGTATTTGTATGTTAAATTATGCCCGCGCATTCTTCTGTATACAGTATAAATAACAACACAGAAATGCAGAAGATGCTGTCTTTTGCTGCAAGAACCTGTTTCTTTCAAGGTTTATAAATAGGTTCCTGGAGAATAATCACGGTGACAGACATTTGTTTGAAGCAGTCAGACGCTATTGATTTCCATATAATTTAATTTCCTCCGCATACTTTGTTGTTGTTGTTGTTGTTGTGAATATAACTGTGTCAGGCACCGACAGTGACAGCCACTTAGGAGCCACAAGGAGCGTGTGCTTTCTACTAGGGAACCGCTGTTGAAATGAAATTGTGCATTTCTCTTATTGTTTGTCTCCTTTAACCGTGTACAAACCCACATTTCAAACGAGCTCCGGGTGATCTGAGGCTTCTAGTAATCAAAAGGAAAAATAGTTAACAGGGTGTTGTTGGGATCCTTCCCTCTCCTCAGCGTGTACACACACACACACACACACACACACACACACACACACACACACACTTTATGCTGGAAACTCCAGGAAAAGGAAATCGCTTCAGAGAAAAAAGAATTAAGATGTTGAAAAGAGAACTTTCTTTTCCCTTCCATCGTTTTGGCTTCTTTGCTTCTTATCGCTGTATGTCTGTGTGTGTAGATAGATAGATAGATATGTATATATATGCGCACGCTTCTCCAATAGGAGATGGGATCAAGCCAGTTTATAGGAAAGTGTGATTAAAATATTAATTCAAACCAATTTGAAAGAAAGAAACCTAAGCTCTGGTCCGGACTTTATTTTTTATGTATTCTCTTATTGTGAAATCAAAACCTAAGAAGAATGAATCAATTAGCCAACCTGTTATATGGCCCTTGTTTGGCAGGCAGATCAAGGGCCTCCCGGGAGAACCACAGTTCAGGTGCCGAGTCCCCAGGGACACAGAGCTTGCCCCGGGTGATAATAACAGCCCAGATGTTATCACATCTGCGGCAGGAGAGCTGGAGAACAGCAAGGGGCTACTTATGGGAGGCAAAGATCAGATAAATAATCTTTCTGGTCTCTCCCACACCAAAGAGGTCTGTATTTCCACCAAAGAGCAGATCTCATTTCTATAAACCTCAATTTGCGTTCGTGTGGATCTCTTCTTCAGATAAACATGTCCGTATTTAGCATACCCACTCAATACTCAAATTCCAAGAAAAGCCCACAGGCGTCACCATGGCTTTTTCTTTCTTTCTTTTCTTTTCTCTCTACCCTCCTCCCCCGTTGCAGCCAGAGAGGGGAGTAAGAAAGATGTTCACTTGCTGGAGCAAGAGGAGCCTCGCGTTTCCATCCATTACGTGGTCCCCTGGGAGTGCTAAATGCAACTTATCTCTACGGGGAATGGAGGAGGAGCAGGACATCTCTGGAGGGAGCAAGTGAGTCCTAAGGTAGTCATCACACCGGGTGTCCAGGCTTAACCTAATCCTTCCTGATACCCATGGCAGCGATTCCCTGAGCTCTCTCACTAGGGAAAGGAAGGGTCCCGCAGAGGGCGAGAGCCTAGATCCTGCCCGATCCCCAGGGAAACACTGGCCTTTAGAGACTCCGAAGAGTGCATGGGAGACAGAACCGCAAACAGCACAGGTTCCTCCCGATGGACCCCCAGAGAACAAGGCCAGCCCCCAGGTACTGGAAGCTCATCTGGGCTTACATTGTGACTCTGGGAGGGCACCAGGAAACCCAGAAGACAGGCACCCTGCCAGAGATCAGTTCACTGGTCTGCCGAGACTCCTCCCCTAGTTCACATTTCTTGGACAACTTTCTAGGACAACACCTTGGGGTGGGGCCAGACTTTTGTCCAGAATGTCACAGCTTTACCTGGGGCTAGAAATATGAGGGCTGTGGGTTCAATTCCCAACCCACCCGCTAATCAATGGACTGGAAGCCCATTTAGGGCACATCTGTGTCCACCATGGTACCTAGCAAGGTGTTTGTCACAGTGTAAAAATGCCCCATCAAACAACAGGAAGAGAAGGCAGATGGGGAGGGCCAAGAGTAAAAGCCAGAGCGTTCAACAAGCCAGGGTTAATGGGGAGCAAGCAGGAAGATCACTGAAGGGTCTCCTCTCTTCCTAAAAGGGAGATTGAGACTGGGCCAGAGGGATGTGTTTTCCCCATGCAGAGCTGTAAATCTTGATAGCAGTTTGTTCTTTCTCGAAGTTCAATGATTTCATCCCTCCCGCATTTACTTTCTACTTTACTCTCCTTCCTCAAATACTTGGTAATCACCAGTCTGGGCCAGGGCAAGACACTAGAAAGAAAATGAGGTATAAAATAGAGGTATCTGCCCTCCAGGTGGTGGCAGTCTCTAAGAGTGGGGCAGCCCCAGGTGAAGGGGTGCTCATGATACAGGTGCAACAGGTTCAAAGAGAGGGAATTGGACAGAAATATGGGATGGGGTGGGAGACGTTGCTGGGACAGTTATCCTGCCACATCCCTGCTGGGCCTGGGCCCCAGGCTAGAGAGTGGGGCACAGTGGCAGATCTGCATGCAGTTCCTTGACCTTATGAAATCTTTTTCTCCTTACCCCACGGCAGTGAAAGAAAAGGGTGGTGGACTGGGGCTCACCAATATGTCACTGCTTTGTTTTCCTGGTTTGGCAAGTGCAGTAACTAGTTGGCCCCTGCCTGTGCTAATGATGCACATATGGGGTCTGAGCCTTGGCATAGATTCCTGTAAAGGTCCCCCCCTTCCTTCTTATTTAATGACCAACACAGATTCTCCCCTCTCCCCCATCTCATAGCTTTGCATTTTATCAAGAGGGGGATAATGAATGCACAGCTATTGATTTCCAAGGAATTTCCGCCCCCAGGGATAGGGAGTCTATCATCTGGATCAGAGACACATTTCTTTCCCTCATTAATTAATTTTCTCCTCCTCCTTTGGCAGGCCACACTTCACATCTCCTTTGGCAGCTGCTTTCTCCCCCGAGCTCAGGGAGCAGAGATGCCTTGGTTGCAGTGAGGGCCTCCAGAGAGGCGCTGTTCAAGGGCCTGCACGGCAGGGAGTGAACTCTCCTTACCTTAGACACTCACGCAACGCCACACATCAGGAGAGAGCACCTGACAGCAGCTGCCCGCTTCGCCTGCCTTTCTCCTTCCAAACGGGTGCGGGGAAAAATCAGCGCCCCCCGACTCAGCAGCCACACACGCGCGCGCGCGCGCACACACACACACACACACACACACACACCCCTCTGGGATTGAACCCGGGTTATTTGTTCGGATTCAGGGACAGGGGATTGGCCCTGAAGAACGTCTGCTTCAGTGCGTGGAGTTTGTGTGTGTGTACAGGAGGAGGGGATCGGGCTCCACGCTCTGGCCTGAACCCAGGGATCGGGCCCCACCTGCAGGCCGGCCCCCTCGGGTTCTGGCGGCCCGAGCGGGAGCTCTGCACCTCCCAGACCCGGGGTGCCACGATTCCCGCGGGCAGTTGCCCAGTTTGAAACTAGGCACATTTCACAGCACAGCCAGCGCTCTGCGTGCAGGGGGAGCCTCCAGAGCTCAGAGCTGGCCGGCTCCAGAGACCTGTTGGGTTGTTTTTAAGCCGTGTGAAGGGGCAGGCAGGGGAGGAGCAGGCCCAGAGTAGGGGGTGGGGGTCGGTTCTCTTGAAGAGGAGCTGCGCTTGGGTGGGCCGGCGGCGGCCTCGCGCTCCGACACTTTCTGTCTGAAGGGTGGAATAGAGGAGCTACCGGTGCGGTACTTTCGCTTCCTCTCCGGCCGCCTTCCCAGGGCCGAGTCTGGGCTGCCTCGATGCTAGGTCTCTGTTAGCGCTACCCTTCGCGCAGGCCGATCCCGGCTCTCCTGCCGCTAGGGGCCCGGGCTCCTCGCCGGTCCTGCGGGGGTCCTCAGAAGCTCCCCCACGCAGACCGCCAGGCCGCAGCGCCCACCCCGTCTGATTCTGGGCGGTGGCCCTGCCTTAGGCCAGCCCCCGGGCCCAGCCCTGCCCGAGCAGCGAGTTCGGAGCCACGCTCTTGCTGCCGGGAGTTCGGAGATTTCCTGGAGGGCCCTGTCCTCCCTTTCTACCGCGCCCCGACCGCCCTCGGGCTGCTCGTCGGACGTGAGTGAGTTATTGAGGCCCATGGTGATCTCCTTAAGGCTCCCGCCCCCGCGTTCAGACTGGATTCCAGCTAGGACCTGCGGAGAAGGATCTTGAGTAAGCCTGTCAAAACCCCACTGTTTTCTTTCCTCTGGCCGTTTAATTCAAGTGCAACTTCCGTTGGGAATATTTTCCCTGGATGTCAACCACCCCACCCCGAAATGATGCGTCCCAGTAAAGTTCACTGCCGGTCATTATCACTCTTGGCGTTACATATGTAGAGATCGATCTATCTATCTATGTATCTATGTATCTATCATCTCCACCTTCTCCACCTTAATCTCTCCACGGACTCAAAATCAACCTACCTTGTGAAAGATCTACGGGCGAGGAAGGACAACTACATCTGGGTCCTAACAGGGGCATGCCCCCCTCCCCGCGCCTGCTAGTTTCGTTGTCCATGTGAACAATGTTGTATCACTAAATGAGGCCAAGGGCCCCTATGCTTTAGATCCTAAGAGGAGCAAAGTCGCCCCGGCTCCACCCAGGCTCCTTCAAAACCGGAAGAGCGCGCTGGTCAGAGAAGGGGTTCGAGGTCCCTGAGTGACAAACAGCGAACAAACCAACTCTACAAAAGGCACTCCCGCCAGTGACCCTATGCGACGAGATGGAAATTCCGTCGCCTTCCCTCTCGTCAGATAGCCGCCTGCCCACCGCTGCGATTCGGACGCATGCAGGCCGGGGTCGGAGGGAGTTCCGCTGGCGCAAATGGTCGGCAGAAGACCCCTGGCCCGGTACTAGGGCAGTTCCGGGGACCGCGAGGCGAGCGCCCCTCGCCCTCCGCAGGTTCAGCTCTACCCGCAGGAGCAGGATCCCCAGGCGGGCCCAGAAGCCGCCGAGAAAAGCGCGAAGCTGCGAGTCCAAACGCCAGAAGTGCGGAGTTGGGTCCTGTTGCCCGGCTCCGGCGCTCGCCGGCGCCGCCGCCCGCCGCCCCTCCTCCTCGCCGCCCGCACAAATCAAAGCCCCTTGCGAGGGACTGGGAAATAGTTGCCTTGTCATGTAACACATTGCCCTGATTTATTATAAAATTTTAACGAAATCATGCATATTTTAACAGCCTTTAATCACTGCATGAAAATTTAATTCATGGACTGTAGCGCGTTTAAATAAATGAAGTGTTAATTCATTAGGATTAATTAATTTGTTAAAGGATTGTGTGCAAGGTTAAGGTGGAAAGAAAACTCTTTGTTGCTTTCGCGTCTTAATCGCCAGGTTTCGCGAGTGGTAATAAAATGAAAGGAAACCGCAAAGCAAGTCGTTTCCTCGGGTGGGGCCTGGGCGGGACCAGCTGAGAGAGCGCCCTCGAGAGCGCGGGAAATTCCGGCCCGCGGGGCACCGGCGGGTCTGCCCTCCCGGGGAACCGGGGGTGGGAGGGGCCGGGGGTGGGGGTGGCTGTTGGGGGAAGAGCGGCGCTGGTTGCGGAAATCCCGGAAGGCTGGGTGCGTTGGAATCAGAGGGAGGTAGGGGCCTCAGAGCCGAGACTAGCGGGCTAGACCTCACCTCCCCACCCCCAGCACAAAGATGACCCTGAGTGAAGCGAGGTCGCGCCTTCCGGCCCTCGCAGCGCAAAGCCCCGGCTTAATGGACAGATGACGGGCCAGCCCTGCCACCTCCTGAGCCTTCCAGCGCCCAGGGAGTCACTGTCTCGCCATCAGGCCGCCGACTCCGGCGGCTAGGGCTAGCTTGGAGTCTCAGGGGACGCTTAGAAAGAGGAGGCGGAGCAAAGCCAAACTTGCAAGCTTAGGCTGGAGCAATCTAGAAACCTTTCTCAATCAGAAGCCCTGGCATTAGGCAGTGAATCCTTCAGCACCTCTTCTGAGACGTCCGTGAAGTAGGCGCCCCTACAAGGACAACGAACAAGCAGAAGAGACGTCCTTTTCCACACCGAGCTCTTACTCATCCTTAAAGACCCAATGCAAACAGCACTTCGTGAAGATGCTTGATTTCCTCTCTGCTCCATGCTATCGCCAACACCGACTTTTTCTACGCACCGTGCTTTAAGAATCAAAATGGACCAGAACTAGCTCCTCTGCCCTCACAGAAAGTCTCAGTAAATGCCTAAATCCTTGCCCTTAGTAACTCCGAAATTTTAAGTGTCACACAAGGCACACACTTCTCCACACTTGGTTAATCCAACTAACATTTATTAGAGGGGGTCTGTTGTTCCCTCTTAAGACACAGCAGACCTTACTTAGAATCTACCATTTCAAGAAGTGGAGCTCCAATTCAAAGTATTCTAGGCTGCTTCTGTCATATAAAACTGAAGATCGCCCTAGCCTGAGCTCCAGATGGGTTCTTAAAAGAAATCTGCATCTTAATAGATGTTTCCTCGCTCAGAGTGGGGTTCCGAGAATTAGACAATAAATGTTCACTATGCACTCTGAGATCATTGCTTAAAAGGTTTTCTCTCTGCCAAGTATTATTAAAAGGATTGAGTTACATCATCACAGGCAAAACTGTGTTGTAGGACTCCCACAAATAGGAATGAAAGACCTTATGAGGCTTTGGGAAACACATTTAATCTAATAGGCCATACTCCATAAAAAACTGTTAATCTCAGTTTGATGTTGTACAAGTTATCATTCACAGGTACAAAATCTATGTATTACACGTTGAATAACTGAAAACCATTCAAATATACAGAAACAAGTTGCTGAAACATCTTAGGGTTTAAGACCAAAGTTCTTCCCTTGTTCAGTGGTACCTTTAAACCAACATAGATACAAAAGAAATTATGGGAATACAAAGCAGATTTGAAATTAAGGAGCTATAAATCTTAGTCTACCATTTTCAGCTTTTGTCTCAGCTGATACATTAAAACAGGAAAAAACATGTCATTTGTGGATGGGATTAATATTTTGGGAAAATTAAAAGATGAACACTAAAGGTCATGTCAAAAAAAAATCTCGCATCATGTCACGTTCCCTTTGCCATTACATTTTAGAAAGATAAGCAATCAAAAGATGCTGTTTTTATAGGCATGATGATTAGTGTCTGCTTCCCTTATCACAAGTGCATCTTGTTCTAACATAGCCTTTAGTGCTAACCCTCCCAATAAGGGTTAAATTCATCTAAATGTCGGAGTTAATGCAATTCTTTCTAAATTTAAAAGTGGCACACAATTTTCATCACTGAGCTTCCACTTAGTAGTGGAGTTAGACCCTGGAACATTGGCAGGAATTAAATGCTACTTGAAAAGAAACATGCTAATATTTCTAAAGTAGTACTTTAAAAATAACCCTCGGAAATTTCAAATCCATTCATCCTTTGGCCTACAGATGGGAACTCTCATGCTTAGGGGAGAAGAGTACAAGCTCTAGAGTCAGGGGCCCAGCTCTAAGACATGGTTCTATCCCATTCCAGCTGTATGACCACTAATCCTCAAATCACTTATTTTAAACTGAGGATAACAGTTCTTGGCTTACAGAGTTTGAAGAGGATTAAAGGAAATAGAAATTAGTAAAGTGCTTGGTTTAAAGAAGTTTGTCTTTGTTTTGTTTTTAGAGTGTGCATACAATATACTTGAAAATACATGAAACCTGGGTGGCTCAGTCGTTAAGCATCTGCCTTCTGCTCAGGTCATGATCCCAGGGTCCTGGGATCGAGTCCACATCAGGCTCCCTGTTCCACAGGAAGCCTGCTTCTCCCTCCCCACTCCCCCTGCTTGTGTTCCCTCTCTCACTGTGTCTCTCTGTCAAATAAATAAAATCTTTAAAATACATGAAACCACTACATTTATCATGCTGTATCACAGATTATGTAAAGGGTACAAATGAGAATATGTGATTAAAATAAAATCCTGGTTATTCCCTTCAACTGAGAAATGTCACAGGTTTGATTAATTTAATATATGAAATATTGTTTTGGGAAGGGTGGAGCAACGTTTCTGAAGCAGCTGGGAAATACTTTGGTCCAGAAGAGACACTCTAACCCTGATTAGGCATCACTAAATCAGGTTACACATTCTGCATTGCCATGGCACACTGTCAGTATATATTTGGATTAATGGATTAAAAACTGACACATTCATAGTAAAGAAGAGTTACGGACAGAATTAGAGTGAGGCTTACCCACAAATTTACTCTGTGATTACTCAGAAAAATTATAGATTTCTACATTTAATAGAATTTCAAATATATTACCACAGTGTCAAAGATATCTAAACTACTTATCTCTAAAAGTATCCACTGACTTTAACACATCAAAAGAAAAAAATAACACACATATACTTATTGGAATATGTATGTTAAAATTATGCTTCATGTTAGCTTTTATTTTTGGCCCTTATTATTTCTAAAAGTGGAAGGCATTATTCTCCATATCATAAAAGTGATTTGTTACACTTTTATAGTTTCATTGAATCCTTAGAGTCTATTATTAACAGGGGTCAGCAAATTTTTCTGTAAAATGCCAAATGGTAAATATTTAGGCTTTGTGGGCCATATGGTCTCAGTGGCAACTATTCAACTCTGCCACTGCAATGTAGAAGCAGTCATAGATAATATGTAAACAAATGAGTGTAGCTGCATTCTAATAAGACTTTATTTAGAAACACTGAAATTTCAATTTTATATCATTTTCCTGTATTATGAAAGATTTTTTTGATTTTTAAAAACTTAAAAAGTGTAAAAACCATTTTTAGTTCACAGGTTTTTCACAAGAAACAAGTGTAGGCCAGATTTGGTCCATGGTCCACAGTTTGTCAACTTCTATAAGATCAATTAAAAATGTAAGTTTTACTGGTCGTTACAGGCTAATTCAATATCTAAGACAACATCAAGGATTACAGTGCTTATGACATCCTTTATTCAATTCACATAGAAAAGCATGCAGTATTAATGTAAAACAGTACAGTATTAATGTAAAATGTTCAGTGCACATTAGATAAACAAGTCATTAGCATACAAACCATTTTTAAAGGCCTATATAGGCATACCAAACATGTTTAGAATATACTTTTTCAGAGCCTAAATTAAAAATTGTGCTTAGCTCACCTATTCTCATTTCAACACTCTTCATGAAAAAAAATTCTGTCCTACATAAAAGATATTCTATTAGCCAACTAAAACTTCTTTTTCTTAAGTAAGGAAAACAGTGCAAGCAAGAATGCTACCATGCATACAGTTTCCACAAAGAATAGTAACATGCAAACAAGAACTTCACTCCAAAAAAAGCTCCCTGGGATGAAAGTGGATCAAGCATTTGGCAAAGAGCGCTTCTGCACCTGTGTATCTGGAACAATGACGCTACCATGTTTAGGCTCCTCCAAACCCAACCAACCATTCTATGCCTTCTTTCCAAGGTAGGCTCAATTTCTGATTTTCAACACACACAAAAAGATGAGGAAATGAAAGCTACCTGACATAAAACAAATATTTTCATATAGAAAATGTGTTCTTTCATTCTAGCAAAAGGTTCTCACAAAAACTGTACAAAACACAATGTTAAAAATGCAAACATACATATACAAAACCTAAAAAAAAAAAAAAGTAAATGAATACTGGACTAATATAGAGTGCTATTTCTCCACATGGCCCTGCCTAAAAGTTGAGCCATCACTAAATATAAATAAAAAAGGGCAGGCAAAATTATTCCCACCCTAGGAAAGTTTTAAAGAAACTCAAGTGTCTTATGAGCAGTGTGTAAACAACCCAAAAAGTTTTATTTAAGAAATCCAAGTTCTGAAGACAACCGAGGCTCATTAATAGGCCACTGTATCTTAACAGCTAAACCAAGACCAAAGAAAACAAAATACACCCAAACCAGATACATATAATATTCATTAAAAGAAACCCTCTCCCTATCTTTTCTGTTTAAAAAGATGCCCAAATGAAACTGAAAAAGGACAAATTCTTTAAAATGAACAAAAGTATTTTGGTTACAGGCTAATCCACCATTCTGACTTGACACTTGACTACAGATTATCAATTCAAAATTGTATAGAACTTTTATGAGGGGAAAAAAGGAACTTTAAAAACTTATATTCCTCTCAGAACAAAAACATAAATGACACCTTTCTAATGAGTCAACTTTTAGTTGCTTTTGATGGGCTGGCATTGGAAAGACTGCTCTGGATTTTTCTTTTTGTTGATTGATTCATATTTTTATTCCTCTTCTCAGGCACAAAGGAAGTAGACCAAGGAGACTGAAGGTGGTTATGAAGACCATGCATCTCTGAGGTCATCTTAAATAAAGATGACCCAAACCTCTGATCTTCAAATAGCCGGTGTGAACTGCTTAACAAAACACCCTGGGAAAACTCAGTCTGAAACAAACAGCTTGGGGGTTTGATTTCATTAGTTCCTGGGTTAGAACTGGTATGGAGAGAAAAATCTTCATTCATTTCTTGGTCAGATGGAGAGAGGAGAAAAAAAGAAGCGGGTTTCCAATCATTTCCATTTTCTAACTGATCAGTAGTTAGAGAACCTTTGGAAAGGTTTGGCTTAGTTCTTTCTTCCAGCTTATCTGGTTCCTCAAGAAATTCACTGCCTTGAGACGACTTTGATAACCCATCCAAATCCACTGACTTAAAACCATTATTGCAAGGGCTCTTGCTGTTGTCTGATTCCGACATCATTGAATCCAACTCAGAGATTTTGTCAAGGTAAGCTGCGTCCATGGATGCTTCACTGGATGTTCTTGTCCGATTCATTTCAAAAGAGCGAATAGAATTCAACCTCTTAGATAAGCATGAGCCTGATTTCTCACTTAATTTTAACGAAATTTCTCCAACAGAATTTGCTATTGTGTTCCCCTCTGAGCTTTCAAAATCCAAGTTTTGGGCATAGCTTGTGGAACAACAGTCCCAAAACCCTGTCTCTGAGGAAGTAAAACACTCTGATTTCTTTTCATTTTCACTTCTATCATCTTCTGATGAATCTTTATTACAAACATTCGGAGAATCACAAAAATCATCAAACACCAATTTTCTGAGATGGTTTGGGTGCTTTTTGGAACCTACTGCTTTGACTACAGAGCTCTCTCTATTTTCTGGAGTACTGAGCTGAAGGCAACTAAGGGATAAAGGAGTACAAGGAGCTGGAAGATCATAAAGTTCTTCATCTTTGTAGGGTATACTATCACTTGGCTTATTACCCCAATCTCTTTCCAAATAAGTATCCATACTTGTATCTGTCACATCTAACATTATTTCCACCTGTTTTTGATACAGGTCTTTGTTCTTAGAACAATTCGGTTCTGTTTTGCTGGTGCTTTCCTGCCTGGCAGAACTGCTACAAGGTTTTGCCAGGTGAGAACTTGAGGTGGATGAGCCAAGCTGTTTTCTGGCACCATCACCTTGATTCTTTGATGCCATATCCTCCTCGTTGACTATGCTCCCCTTGCCATCTGTAGAAAGTGCTCTCTGGCAAATGGAATTCATAGCTTCCTTCTCTTCACTTGAATTTTTTAGCTGTGCAATTTGAGATTCTAGTTCCTCTATATACTTATCACTTCGTTCCAGGGCTTTCTTGAGGCGATTGGTTTCACGTTCATGCTGTTCTACTTTGGACTGAAGAGCAGCTACTGTAAACCTTCCAAACCTGCAAGAAGTGGAAAGATAGTTAACTTTACAGTTGCAAGCTTTTTTCTTTCTTTTTCAAAGTTTAAGAGTGCAAACTGTCTCAACCCATTTCAATTTCACATACCACTGACATTTCAGACCACTCGATGAACAGGTCAAAAGCAATGCCAGATGTAGTATCTTCAGAAAAGAGTTTTTCCATTTTATGTAATAATATGCATATGATAACAATGGCAAAGATCTAATAGGATACTTTTGTGGTCAAATCAGATTAGCTGTGGCAGAAAGGCAGAAACTCACTGCTGACTTCCCTTCCAAGAGCCAGCTCTCTCAATTCAGCTCATATATGCATGCAGGGTTATCCCCTAAAACAATGGCAAAGATTTATGATAACATTTGAACAGTGGTCCACATCTTGAAATATTTACATTCAATCATTTTCCTATCGTACAGCAGTGTTTTACAATACATTTCTTATACAATGTCACCTTGTCAAACATAAAATGCCAATTTGAAATTCAGAAATCTTAGCAGTCCCAGCAGGGGTGGTTTTAAATACTTATTTGGACCCTTTCAATTATAGCCACTCGATCTGAAGCTTTTACTTGGCCTTTCTGAACACTGGGCTTTAATTCATTCCAGCTCTACTTATTTTTGGCATTTTACAACTGTGTGGGACATCAATCTCATTTCTTCCCACTTTGAAATACAAAGTCAGTGCTTGTGGTTCCAATATATTACACATAAAAACATTTTTACATTTTCTGAAAAGGAACATTTTAGAGAGTAACTGAAAAAGAACATATCAAAAATTCACTTCTTTTACTCAGGATTATCTTGTTTTCATTATTCCCTTAAGAATGGGTACTGGGGGGTGTCTGGGTGGCTCAGTTGGTTGGGTGACTGACTCTTGATTTCTGCTTGGGTCGTGATCTCAGGGTCATGAGATTAAGCCCTGAGTGGTGCTTTGCCCTCAGCGTCTTGTCTGCTTGAGATCCTCTCCCTCTGGCCCTCCGCCTGCATGCTCACTCACACGCTCTCTCTCTCTCTCTCAAATAAATAAAAATAAATCTTTAAAAAAAAATGGGTACTAGGTTCAGCTCAGAAAACGGTTTTGAGCACCTAGTATGGGCTGATGGTATATCTGGAGCTGGGGATACAAAGATCAATAAGACTGTCCCACCCCAATGGATATAAAATGTCTACCTTAAATTCCATCAGAACATCAAAGAAAATCCTATCTTTTAAGAAACTGCTTCTTATGAGCCAATAAACATAAACCTTGCATTCTAACCCCATGAAAAATACTTCTCTCCACAAAAGTTCTTTTAAGAAGCCTCCTTCTATAATCTTTTTGATGACTTAAATATTGATCCATCTTTTTTTTTAAAGATTCCATTTATTTATTAGAGAGAGAGACAGCGAGAGAGGGAACACAAGCACGGGGAGTGGGAGAGGGAGAAGCAGGCTTCCCGCAGAGCACGGAGCCCGACACGGGGCTCAATCCCAGGACCCTGGGATGATGACCAGAGCCCAAGGCAGATGCTTAAGGACTGAGCCACCCAGGCGCCCCTCCCCCTAATTGTAAAAGTAATTACAATTAAGGGGCGCCTGGGTGGTTTCTTGGTTTAGGCTCAGGTCCAGATCTCAGGGTGGTGGGATCGGCCTGCCTAGGCTCCCGCTCAGCAGGGAGTCTACTTCCCCTCTCCCTCTGTTCCTCCCACCCCCAATCATGCTCTCTCTCTCTCTGAAATAAATCTTTTTTTTAAAAAAGTTATTACAATTAAGAGAATGTACTAGGTATTAAAAAAAAAGACAAGAAACCCACAGTAATTACCTTTTAGAGACAAACACTATATGTGTATGTGCTCTCTCACTCAATGCCCAACACCTCCTCCTACACTACAGCCCAATTCACTCTCTAGCTCACTCTAACACAATTCCTGCTCTGTTCGGTATGGGGGCGGGGGGAGCAGAGCAAAGGTAAATATAGATTCATAAAATCTCAGGATTATAAGAGCCTTAAAAGAAAGGGTGCTGAATATTGATCTACCCACGGCAATTAACTAACTGAACTCCCAGAAAGAGCACACTCCTTCAACCTCTAAAAAACAAAGCAAAAACCACAGGTATAACAAAAACAAAACCAACTACAATAACAAGCCTCCCTGTTTTAAAACCAATTTTACTACTATGAGTATCTGGTTAAATGAATGATGGTAGTTTTTCCTTCTTTGTTAGAGAAAAATGTTTTAGTTTATAAATGTAGTATTTGACAGAGCTGTGGTTTCTGCAAGAGAATTTTAAAGACCGGACAAATATCTTAAGGACATCATTGTAAGTTCTTGATTGTAACTACTCTATAATCAAACAACCCACATATTTTTATTCTTAGTTTTATTTTTTATTATTTTTAAAGATTTTATTTATTTGACAGAGAGAGAGACAGCAAGAGCAGGAACACAAGCAAGGGGAGCGGGAGAGGGAGAAGCTGGCTTCCCGCAGAGCAGGGAGCCCGATGTGGGGCTCGATTCCGGGACCCTGGGATCATGACCTAAGCCGAAGGCAGATGCTTAACGACTGAGCCACACAGGCCCCCCTACCCACATATTTTTAAATGGAAAAAACGTGCAGCATGTTTACTTAATGCAAACAGCAAAAGTGACAGCCTTAAATTTGCTTACCAAGATAAAATTTATCTTTTTAAGTGCAATTTTTACAATAAAGGTAAACTCAGAAGAAAAAAAAAATCAAACAATTTTTTTTTTTTTAAGATTTTATTTATTTATTTGACAGAGAGAGACACAGCGAGAGAGGGAACACAAGCAGGGGGAG